CTGAGAAAACGAGGAGAATTAGGTGCGTTTTGTTGGTGAAGTCGAATTGAAAGAAAATGTATCATAAAGAAAGCGACGATGAAGAGACGATGATCTGTCGGGTTAATAACAGATTTTAATCTCATGGCGAAAAGCGGCGGTTTTCAATTTCTTAAAAAAAAGAGACATGAAAGTTTGCTTATCTAGTGTAATATAGCCGAGACAGTGATGAATAAGAGAATCAAATATTGATTCCAAAAAGAAAGCTAAAAAACGCGAGCAAAGAGATTGTTTGTAGTCGTATGTCCCATTAGAGTGTAAAAACAGCTTCTAGAGTATCAAAATTTTTTGTTAAGATGGCAAAAGTTACAGGTAAACGAGGCTTAGTTACAGACGTTTCTGTTTGTTTAATTGCTTTTAACAATAGTTCCAATAGTTCTATTGTATTTGAAGGGTCGGGATGCTGCGGTAATGTAATCGATGATCGTAATATACAATAACAAATTTCACTTAGATATAATTTAATTGTCGAATATTTTTGAGTTTTAATTTTGTCATCGTGACGGACATGATCGATCAAAATTGTTTAATAATCAGTAATATCGGAAAATCATAGACAACGATTTCTTAGAGAATGGAATTAGGGTTAAACAGAGAACAGTTTATGAATAAATTTGGGGTGATCAGAGAACGGTCAGAGTTATAAAACGAAAAAGTCGAAAAGAGAATGGTTCAGAATTCGGAGTCCAAAAGACACAAAAGAGAACGGTCATATGTTCGAATAGTGTATTATGATCTATATATATCTCGCATTATATGCAAAAAAATATTGTATAAAAAGTGTAAATATATGTCAAAAAAGTAGAACAAGACTAGATTTTTTTGGTCTACAATGTAGAAAAATATTCCATGAAATTCGATTTGCATATTTTTTATCTTGAGACCATCTTAGTGCTAATGTTTCTAATTCTTTACATCATTTTGTGACAACTCAGCCTCAGAATGTGGTTCTTTTACTGTTTCTGTATCGATGTGTAAATATGAAAAAGCATACGTATGAAAATTCTGCTGTAGAACTGTAGAAATACAGTGAAAAAATATCTTTCGAACCGTTCTCGTTCTAGTCTTCTGCAAAAAAACTTCGAAAACCGTCCACTTTTCAATCCCGTTCTCTAAACAGCGTACGAATTCAATAATTCCCACTCCGTTTTCTTTTAATACTTTTATCACTGACGAGTGAGAGCTTATCAGCTTATTTCGATGATTTCGCTATTGAACTATCCAAATTTAAGCGTTATTACAACTTATTACTCGTGAGAAAATCGCGTAGTAGGATAAATAATTGCTGACTTATTTCAAATGCGCGAACTATCTTTAAATAATCCAGACTACTGAATGATTCAAGTACTGCAGAGATGTAACCGGTACCGACCGGCCGAAAAGAAATTAATTTGATCTCTTGAGAAAAGAAATGTTTTTTTTGTCTGAAAAATCAGCACTTTGTCAAGAACGAATTTGCTGAACTAAGAAAAACAAAGCTTTTCGTGTTTCAGATTAAGAAAGTTAATTTGGTTTTCTCTTTTTTGTCAACAGTCTGCAAGAGCAGGACTGATAATCTCTACTTTGTGAATATTCTGTTCGCTTTTCTTTCTTTTTTAATGTTGTTGCTATTAACTACGCTAAAATACAAGGCCGGTGGTTATTTTTTGAATAACTCAAGAAGAATAAAAGATGGAGACTTGCGGTTTTCATCATTCGCTAACCAAAATCTGAGGCTTTTTATAAGCAAAAAGGAGTTGAAAAAATTTCAAAGATCCTTTTTTCAGGAGATCTGTGAAAAACCAGTTCGGTTCTCTGAAAACTGACATAGAAATTTATGGATTTGTTTTCATCCATACATAGTCCGAAGTGTCCTCTACAAAACTGGATCTAAGGGACATCTTGGAAATCCATGGTTCGGAAGCTATGGACGTTTTTCTAGAAGCCTTAGAACTCCTCAGTCGTTAGTCTTTTACACTTACACGCTAGGAAAATATATGACCGGCTAACCGGCCAGCCTGACCCGGTCAGAAATTTTTCGACCGGTTACATCTATGAAGTACTGTACAAATATTGCTCGTGAATATGCACGTCATTGTTGTCAATACAGGAGCATTTCATTGGTTGTTGCCACTGGTCTGGAAAAAATTCATTTTCTCAACAATGGAAAAAGATAATCCGAAACGACTCTCTTGTCCGTTTTCCGAAGGAAAAGGAAGTCTGAAGTTTAGTTTAATAGAATACGATTTTCGCTGATTTTCAGTAGCTGTAAAACACCGTCGGAACATGAAATCTTCCGCATTTTGTCGTATTTACAACTACTGGAAAATAGCTTCAATGTTGTCTATAGTTATTGTAAACTTAGGTTGTTTGCTTGATACCTAGTCTATTATATGGTTTTAATGAGCGTATTATTAAATATTCAGCCATTTATGTTATTGATTTAATAGAAATATCTTTGAGATGTAATCGAAATACAAGTTCATGCTGAGTTTTTCTACAAAAGAAAATCATTGATATATTTAGCATGCGGTTATGAACGTTTTCACATTTTGTGCTCCACAGGAGCAACGCTGACAAGTTTTTTTTCTCGTAGGTATGATGATTAGAACGAAGTAAAAAGAATTGCTCTTCTTTGGACCTATAAAGACTTGATTGGTTTGCACGATACAAGGTGGGCTTTTCACCTGTTCTACTCATGTTTGCGAAATTTTTTTATCATTTTTGATGTTAATTTTATTAAATTCAGTTTTCTATACTCAGTTTATCATGGAGAATCAGAACAAAGCGGTTTTGAAAGTTAAAACGATCTCATAAAGATGGAAATTTTGATAATTTTTAAAAATTTCATTAAATTTCACGTAGTTGGAAAAGTTCAGTATTTTAAATTATTTTTAATAAAAATCGTTTTCGAAATGACATTTTTCTATGTAACTCGACCAGCTCTATCTAATCATTACAAAAAAATGGCAATATTTTTTCTACTTGATTTTCAAATTCTCAGCACCTTACCTCGGATGCATTAGTTAGGAAGCAAACAGTAACAAGTAAGAACAACGTCAAAAACTTGAAGATGGTAGTTATAAATGATCCTGCATTTGTTCACTGTGTCCCTCAAACGTCGATTAACGTAATATATATTAAATGTGATCAACTCGGGGGGAGGAAAATCTGTGGCTTTTTATACGTACACTCTGTTTGTTGTTCGCAGTTACTTTGTATTTTCTTTATTTATCTGACTGGTACTTACGGTAGACATTTTCGAATTCCAGTATTATACATGTTTAAAATGAGATTAATTCTAAAACTGTTTGCTGTTTACTCAAATATTCATATTGAAAAATTATTGAAATCCATCACATAGTGTTACTTCGTATCTGTCACATTTAAAACTGATTAAAGATCTCTGATTTACGTAGTACTGTTGACTGGCTTCGTAACGGTCCTATCAGAAAAAAAGAGAAACGTTAAAAATCTTTTAAGAGGAGCGCTGGGTAAAAAAGAGTAGGCATCTTTTTGGCCGAAAAACGGTACTGACAATATTATGTACACGTCAGAGTGGCTTAAGACTCTCAAAGAAAAGATTTCATCCTACTTAAAGTGTTTTTTCTGTGTCTCATGAGTAAAAAACTAAGAACAACACAGCAAAAAGGAGTTATTCTAGTTTAACACAGAAACACATCTGACTGTTCAAATAGCATCGCTAACTAATGTGATAGTTTCTTTCAACTCTCTGATTTTTTCACGATGTTTATCTTTCCTTATATGCTGTACTATCGACTACCATCCCTTGTTCCCACAATATCATTCGTCCATTTTACACAATGTACATACGAATGTTGATTCCTTAGCACCTTGCTTTAATCATCGTCTCACAGGGGCTTCATCTACTGTTTTCTGTAATCACGAGTGATTGAATTTTATTTCATATGACGCCATTGATAAAAAAATATATCTGAAACTACTTGCAGATCTAAAACTGGCGCGAATTCTGGTATTTTTGCTAAAAAATCTCAGAAGAGGAAAATTAGCTGAAAAAGAGAAGAAGTCTTGAATTAAAGGAAAAGAGGAACATTACGAACCCAGACTGTTGATAATAACGCATAATCTCACGATGCTTGTCAACATTCATTTCTTGTCTTAGACTATTTTTTTATGTCTATTTCAATAACATTAATATTTTGAATATTAAAAGCCACAAATGCTCTACTCTACACAAGTGATACACAAAACAAAGTTTGTACAAAGGTTAATAAAAAGTACAAAAAAAACCATGACACATCTTTCACATAGCAAAAGAAGAAAGGAAAAAGAAAACACAAAATGTTTTGATAAAGTACGCAAAGGCTCAAAAGCCACTGTTATTGCAAATTCATACATCTATCAGATATACATTTTTCTTTTCACAGTTGAAAAACTTTCAAAAACTTTTTCAAACAAAAAAAGAAAGGACAGCTACTGTCATGTGCTACAAAACACAAAAAAAATGCATTAGAAAACAATGGAGAATATAATACATCAGAAAACAGAAAAAGTTTCACATAAAAATTGATAAAAAAAAGAAAAAGAAAAGATTTCAAAAAGAACAAACAGAAAACACCCATCTTCGTTGACAAAGCAGCGCCGGGCTTTTCAAATCACAAAAATGCTTAAAAAAGAAAATGAGACAATGATTTTTCCCTGAGAAATAAAATTTGTACAATGAACGATGGAGCATAAAGAAAATATCGAACAAATATGAGAGACAAGAGATCGATGTTGATTTTAGTCACTTACACTATGTCTCAAAAGAAAAATGAAATAATGATTATGTGAATTGTTATCTATCTGCGCTTATTATGGACTATAAAATACTATCCAAATCTCATGAAGCAGACGTTAAAAGTGAATTCAATGGAGAGGAAAAGAAACAGTGTTAATTCAACAAAAAGATGATGTCAATCAGCTAAGTTAGTTGGTTAAATTTTGATTATTATTAATTTTTATCTATGTTTTGGTTTTGGTTTTTGTGTAATTTGATCTTTAATATCCACTTCTTCAAAATCTGATTTCAACCAATCCAACATATTATTAAATATAACAACACCATTTTGAGATGGATCTAAAAACAAAGAGTTTAATATAACAAATCACATATCTCATACACGGCCATTCTACATAAAAGTGCACTTTTACGTAAGTCCGTGACATTTTGTGAGATAGATAGTTCTTTAGTCGAGCAACGTACAGGACTGGGGAGCGTCTTATTTTATAGATTAAAGATTTTTCTTTCAAATGGTAATTAAACAAAGTCTACCAGTCGATTAGTTTGAGTAACATAATGTTTTTGCTATACGCCACGTTCGTACAAAATGGCTTTATTGGCACGAATTAGGGGTAGGTCCTTAGGGTAGAGCTAGACATTGCTTAATTCCTATTTGAAAGAAAAATCTTTAAGCTACAAAATAAGGCGTTCCCCAACTGTATCCGTTGCTCGGCTGAAGAGCTATGATTTTCACAAAACGTAATGGACTTACGTTTTTTGGCTGGTACGCGTGAAACGAATCAACTTAGTACGGCACCTTATGATTAGTTTCTTATAAAAAGAAGTTCAACATTTAAAGAAGTATTTGCAACCCTCACTTTTATCATACTAGTGGTAATTATGAGCAGAATAACATTACTTTCTATTTCATCTAATCATCTATTTCACCTTTATAGAAATTCAACTTTTTGAAAAAAAAAAAAAATACGCTCTTACCGATCTCTATTTGTGCTAATTTTTGTTCATATTCTATAAAATCATTTAAATCACTATAATCTTCATCACTCGTTGTCGTAAATATTTCACTATTTGTGGGTAATCCATCTCCATTCTCATATTCAATAAAATTTGATGCATATTCTTGTTGATGAATTTTTAAATGTTGTTTCATTCGATAGGACGATGGTATATATTGTTTACACATAGGACATATACGTGTTTTCAATTGTGATTGTTGTGATGCACAACAATAATCAAATGGTAATTGATCATTCATTGTATGATTAATAACGACACCATGAAATTGAATACGTTGAAATAATGAACCATAAAATTGACCTACAGTAGAAGAAAAAAAATGTTTTTAGAATTATTTTTTATTTTTATTGTTATTTATTTATTTATTTATTTAATGTTTTTCTACCTCTTTCCGAATCTTTATCAGCCATTTCGATTCCTTTAAGTGTTCGTTCAAATGGAACGGGTGGTGGTAAGAAACGATGTGGAAATATTTGAACATAATTTGATCGCCATTGGCCACAACATTGTGGATTATTACAACGAATTATTTGAATGGTATATTGTGTTTGAAGAACATGATTCGCACACCAATATTCATCAAGTTCATATTTTGCTAATATTTCTTCTTTATTTGGCAGGGATTTAACAAATTCTTCTTGACATACTTGATCAGTAACAGCAGATAGAACACTTTCAGCAGTTTCTTGATCCGTACAACAACTAAAAGAAGAAAAAAAATACGTTAAAAAAACAAAAACAAATCATCTTCTCCAAAACATTTACTCTTTCAATAAATCGTCCATCGCTTTGGTAACATCAGTGAGTCGTTGTTCTTCATCAGTCATTTTTCGTGATTTAGGTGGATCAATATATTCAGCTACAACTGGATGTTCATCAATAATATTTCCACTCCATACTTCGGATAAAACTTGACCAGCTTTTTTAAAATTCATTTTTTCTAATTCAACATCAATTGTCATACCTTTTTGATTTAAATGATTTCCAAATTGATCATTTGGTAAAATGAGACCTGCTAGATCATGTGATAATGGTGCAATTCGACGTTCAATTACACTAAATGCTACATGACCAGGTGCATGTGTTAAAATAAATAGAGCATCTAAATTATATCGTCGAAATTTTTCAACAGCATTTGATAATGTCTTAGGAAAACGTGGATTTTCATCTGGACCACCATCAACGGTTATAATAATAATTGGTTTAACATCGCCAAATGAATCACGAGCAACACGATCAAATTCTTTTAAATTAACCTAAATTAAAATAAATTTTTTGTCTCATTTAATATTTTTATAAACTGAAAAATATGACATACCATTCTATCAAAATCTACAGCATGCGATTTTCCATCTGTTTGATCATGTTTAGCTGATCTAATAGCAATATATGTTGGTCCCATATAACTCATATCACCCTCAGGATTAATAATACACGCAGCATAAACAGATGGTGTTAATTGATGTTTGGGTGCTTGTGTCCAATCATGATCCGATGCTCTCAATGCATAATCCAAATGCATTAACATGGGTGCTTGAATTTTAGCTGCCGGCATTCCAATGGGTATTTTACATTTGTCATCTTGTGCCATAAATAATACACAATCATTTCCAAATATTCCCGCTAAATCTTTGATATAACGAATTGTAGCATTAGCAAAACAAGCATCTTCATGTTTTGCTGGTTCCTCAGGTGGAGCTTTACGTAAACGAACGGGTACCGAACGAACATGACGTTTACCATCTTGACCTGTCGAACCACGAGGCATTAAACTAAAAATAAATGAGAAAAAAATGAATAGATGATCAATTTAAACAGTTAAAATGCTTACCGATAGTACAATGATGAACGTTTAATATCATAACCACGTTGTTTTATTTTATCTCGTAAATCATCTAACGTTAAACATGGACGCATTTGATCAGCACGACGAAGATCTGCTGGATGACTACCCACTCGAGCTATTTCTTCAATAATTGACAATAGATCAGGACATTCTTCTTCGATAGGTGGACGACCAACCGCTGGACGATATACTTTTGTCAATTCAGCAGCTAAAATGAACCATAGAATATAAATGTGTAAAAACGACTGTAAGTAAATCCATTATCTTGAACTTAACATATATTCTTTAATCACGAAATTAGAAATATCCCTCCATTTCATTAAATGAACAACAAACGTACCTATCACGGGATTTGTTGCACATAAATGTTCAACTTTTCGTTTTTTTCGTTCACGATATCGTGTTGAGGCACGTTGTTTCGATTGTAAACGTTTTATATCATTTGTCTTTGCTTTTCGTTGTTCACATAATTTTTTCAATTGTTTCTGATTTTCAGCTGTTGATAAACCCATATTTTTTACTTGTACTAAAGATGCAATACGTTCATTAATTTCAGCTAACTCTTTCAGAGCTTGTTCTTGTGCAGGTGCTTTAGATTTTTCCAACTTTGAATTAGCACCATTTGTAGCTGATACAGAACCATTTGTTGCTGGTTTTGGTGGACTGCCATTTGTTGTTGGTGCAGATGTGGTGGTGGGAGCAGGAGTAGTTTGTCTTGTTGCTTCAACACTTGCAACGACTTGTTGAATAACAGGATCGTCATCGTCAGAACCACCATCTAACCGTTTTTGCTTCTTTGCTTTTTTCATTGCTTTTCTACTTGGCTGTTCTGGTAAACCGGCAGCACCGGAACGATTATATATTTCTAAATATTCTTCAATCTTTTCTTTGACCAATTCTTCATTTTTCTTAATAGCATTCCATTCAGTTTGAGCACTGTGATGGGAAATCTGTTCAGAAAAGAAAAAAATATGAAAGATGAGTTTTGACGAGAATTCACATTAGTATCGTAAGAGAAAGAGTTTCTTCATTTGGTGATTAACAATATCACTCAGCAGCACGTAGGTTGTTTATTTGCATCTCTAACTGCAAATTACTGTCTTGAAACAAAAACAACTAGAGATCTACATTCACTTTCATTTGAGGACATAAACTGCCATTACTCGCTGAGATAAGTGATCAGAGCTTATGCAAAAGAGCAAAGGTTTTATTAGATTGAAATATCCAGGAGCGAAATTCTAAAAATATGAATTTCTGGCAGACCAAAAGGTCAATAAAAAACATTTTTGCTCCGTCTAAACATTGCTTTCTAAAGCTTTTGTCATCGTTTTTTCTCAGTTTTTTATATCAAAATAACAAAAATAGAAGTGCCAGCTGAATGGCGCCTTGTATGTACATTTTTTATGGTTATGTTCTTGACATACATAGTGACAAAAGAACTTAAGTAGACATTGGAATTTCAACACCAAGGCTAATTGAACAAAGATTCGATAGTTTGAAATTTTTTGAGTAATTCTTGGTTCTCTTACTGACTATACTTCTGTAACTATTTATGTAACTTAAGAACATAAATAAACTGTCTTTTGAGATGTCTTACTAGTTTTTTAAACGTTTTTATGACAAAGCTGAAGTCATCCATCATCAACCTAAGATTCTTCTGTGTTTTGTCGAAAAAATGTTTCGAAACTATGTGATCCCGTTAACGTCTACTTCAGAGAACGACTAAATTATTAGGGAATGAACAGTTGAAAAAAAAGTCTTTGTTAAGTTTAAAGAAATAAAAGTTAAAAAACGAGTGAATAAAGCGAAATTATGAACTTTTTTGTGTTTTTTCGCTTTGGGCTTGTGTTCAGCGCTGGACAAGTGTCTCTACGACTTGTCCAGCGAACAGTTCTCTTTTATCGCTCTTTTTCAAAACATTATTGCAATAACGCTACAAACTAATCTAAAATTGCAACTACGTAGATAATAAAGTAGATTAAACATTTCTCTATAAAATGAAAAATGTCTCGGCTCAGAATGTTAATTCGTTATGAAAATACAGGATTTGTACAAACAACCCAAAAGGTCGATTTGGGGCAGAACTGCAGAATCTGCCTGTTTGCTCCGACGGTCGTCGAGGAAACTTATTGATTTAGGAAAAATTTTTGAAAAATGAAAACATCCTTTTGCAAATATATTGCAAAAAGAAATTCTCTTCGTGGATTATGTTTTTGAAAAAACGTTTTCTATCGAGGGAAATTTTCTAATCTCATGGATAGATTCTGCACCTCTAATTTGGGGGCTATCTGAAAAATGTGTCTAAAAGAGTGAAGATGAGCAGGCGAAAGTTGAACAAGTATACCAGTTTGCCAAAATTGTTTGCTCTACAAGATGTTATAGCTTTTCAAGTTCAAAACTATTCTAGTTAATCTGTATTAATCAAAGAAACACGGTAACTCGTTTGACCGTTTTTTGTTACAGCGCTACCGTTTTTCTGGTTTTCTTTTTTACTTACAAACTTGTATTTTAGATGTCACTTAGCAGTCAGGAAAAATAGAAAAGATTCCAAATAAGTATATGCTCACTATTTAGACACCTACTATCAGTTTCATATCACTATTTAGAACAGAAAGATCATTCTTTCATATCAAATATTCATTTTTTTTTTCATTTTCACAAAAAAAGTGATGCATAGCAGCAGAGAGTACCCAAAGCGAAAGAACGTGAAATATCGATTTTTTCAGATTGTAACGAGGGTAGCTAAGATATTGATATTCGTGATCAGTGCAAAATTCTCTACAAGATAATAGCATATTTTTAAACTCTTTCTCAGGAGGGACACTCAGATATATTCTCTCGCACGTATTAGTCAAAAGCAAAAGCAAGAAAAAAGTTTCGGTCTATATTTTCTTCAAAAAAATACCCATCCTTGAATACGGACAAACTTGGTTGCACAAGTACTTTTTTTCTTCGGTATAGTATTTCAGTCTGACTGAACAAAAATGTTACATCTACTTCGAAAGAATCATTCTTCTCAATAGATCACTTACCTTAACTATATGAATTCTCCCTGCCGATTGTTTAAATCAAACAGATGTTCCGTGCATCATTTGATGAAAAAATTTGGCATAAGTTAGACTTTTCAAAAGCAAATATAACGCATATTATCACATTTTTATAGGGTTTGAAGTTTTCTGACTTTGTCTACTGGAGTGGCTTCTAACCACTTCACAAATATGATGAGATCGAAGAACAATGATTTGCATCTCTATGCTTTCGGCCTCCCATCTAGTGGCAAAGCTAGTTGTTATATACATTAGATTATTTGGCTATCTATCTAAATCAACATCATGCAGCAAGTAGAAAAATGCAATTTTCATTTATCTTAGTGAGAAAAGTATTCATCAATTGCGTATCAAGTACGAGAGTTGGATAGATCGTGGTAAGAATATACATAATAAAAACTACATTGATCACACGTCAACTATTCATCTGAGAATCATCTGTTGCAGAGCTACCCTCCTAGTTTGTTAGATTTATAATGATAAAATTTGTGGATTTTTCTGCTGCTACTTACACAACGTGTCATATTGGGATGCCCTTTCATGTAAGCATCAACAAATGTCCGGTACAAACAATAACGTGGAGTTTTGTGAGCCATATTTCCAAAATTTTAATAAATAAATTATTTTAGTGTAAAAAAGATGGTTACTGCTATATGTGTGTTTTACTAGTGTGTTGAATAAGTTGAAAATGAACGTGACTACGATTCGTGTGTATGTATAGAGGAGAGAGAAAAGAATGGGCTATATACGAAAAAATATCACCGCTGCGTGACCTCGACCGAGACCCGTCCTCTTTGTTCGGTCACTCTTATCCACGATTTTTCAATGAACAGACATGAACCAATAAGAAAATGTTTTGAACCTCTAATTTTTCTACGTTAAAGAATTTTGTCTTATTCTACTGATGAGATTGAAAAGTTTAATAGATAAAGAATTAGTTTAAGGTTTGAAACAGTCGATATAATGTGACATCACTATCACACAGATATGAAAAGACTGCGCGTTTTAGACGGATCCGCTTTACTCGTCGTTATAAAAAGGACTCATAGTCTCTTTTTCACGCGTTTAAGTTTCTTTGTTCATAGAAAAATATTTCGATCTTTTGCACAAGGAGTAAAATTATACTATATTTTTGCTATATACGTCAGTTTTGTTGGCACAGTCACTTGACTAATGATATTTTTGATTTTCTACCTAAAAAAATAATATTTTTGTACTTTTTTAATCTTTTTTGGATTTTTGGTACAATTGTAGCGCAGCATCATTCGACTGCTTTATAACAGGAAAAAATATTTTTCTCATTTTTTCGAAAATATCGGTGATTTTGTGACCACAGCAAAACAAAAAGTTGATCAAATAGATGAAAAATGATAAAACAACGTAGATTATAAATCTTTGTTTTCTGATATCAATTGGGAAAAATATTTGATATCTTCATGACACAATATATAAAAGAGAGTCTCGGCCTTGTAAAAAGAGTATGAAACTACATGTAAAAAAGTGTATAATTATCTAAATAAAGTTTTGATGACTTTTTAATGTCTAGTTTTCAAAACGGCTAATATTCACTAATGATAATGATCTTTTTTCTCGCTTCCATCTCTCATTTACGATCTATTTCTAGTCTAGCCTGCTAAATTGCCGAAAAACGCTCTCCTCGAAGAAGAATTGTCCACTTAAATTCGTTAACTGTTGTTTAGAAGCTCTTCTTTTTATATATGAATGTTGACAGTTAAAAAAGGATACCGTAAAGAGAAAGACTTTACTGTTAATAAAAAAGAAGAATGAACTTGGATATTTTCTGTTTAATATTCGATAAAAAAGTGAAAAAGTGAAGTAAAGCGAGATCACAATATACTACCTGCCCTAATTCGAACGCAAGTAGTTTTAGAGCTTAGATTGGGACTATTATTCTACCGCACGCCGTACATATTATGATAAAATTTTCGAGTATACGTCACCGAATAAAAAAGTTGGACTCATTAAATAATTTTAAGCATAAATTTCCTCATGATTTCAAACTTTAAACTCAATTATTTACGCATATTCTTGTAGCATCTTGTATGGACTATCGAGGGAACTTACTAACGAGAGAACCTTCCCAGGTGTCAAACTCCACTTTCTATGAGCTTATGCCTGTTGATAGAGGAAAGTGTTCTAGTTAAAACCCAAACAGAATTTGTGCCCATGGTACTTCTTTCGAGAGTTATGAATGTTTTTTCTTTCGCTGGATAAACGGGTACAAAAACACACACTAAACGTTTTGTATTTCGGGTGGTGACTATTTTTACTGACCGACTGACTTAACTGACCAAATTTGATTGGTCTATCCCATGGTTACATCAATAAAATTTGATCAGTAAAGTTGGCCGGTTAGTAAAAATAGTCACCACCGTATTTCGATAAAAATAGTGAACTTTCAGATGACATTTTTTTCTGTGGTTGTTTTAATACTCCATTAATATCAGCGTTTCAGCCTCTCTGGAAAATAATCTATTGAATTTTCCTTATTTTTAAAACAAAACCATGTTTTCCCAATAATTCATTTTTCTTTTGTTATGATTAACCATATGTGGTCCTGTTAATGTGAACCTAATTTATCTTCTCTCTCGTCGCTCTCTATAATTTATTTAATTTGTTTGTTTCGGTAATGTGAGTGATTCTCTATGTGAATAATAGTTATTCCATCATTGTAATGGTTTGATACGATTGTTAACCGATCTTTTTTGTATCTATTTTTCAGTGAGACAAAAAAATTCATCCTCTTGAAAGAGGCACCATGGGCACGAATCCTTTCAGGGTTTTAATTGGAACGCTTTATCAATTGGCATAATATCTTTGAAAGTGGAGTTTGACATCTGAGAATGTTCCGGCGTAAGAATAATTGTGATTAAATCTTGAATTTCAGAGAGAAAAGCACAATACAGCACAGTGAACACTTTTCTAATAGCAGACGGAGATCAGAAATTTCTTCTTTAAATCGGTTTTGTGGGTTCATTGTAAAAAATTTCGATCGATATTTTTTCGAACCAAAACTTATTGTATTACACATGGTTTGATGAGCTGATTTCGAATATCATCTTATTTTTCAAGACAAACGTTGCTGGACTCAAAAAAACTGACTTTTTCAGGAAAAATCAAGGGTTTTCGGAAAATCCTTAACTCGACTATGGTAAATATATACATTGTTGTGCACTCACGAGGAAACCACCCGAAGTTATAAATCGATCTCGGGTTGGGATTATTTTTGTTAGAG